TTTGCTATAAGCAAATTGTGTAAAAATAAAAAATACTGATCACTTCCCTAAAGTAGTACAATGTTACTTGGGTAACATTGTACTACTTTGGTCATAGTGAAATATGAAAAAAAAATCTTTAAAAAAGAGAAAAAAAGTAAATAAAAAAATTAAAACTAATAAAAAATTATAACTTTTTTTTTTTCGTACTGTCACCAGTCAATGTCCCTGATCACCGTCATGTCAGTTATATGATGACGCTGAACTGTACTGGTGACAGTATGTTAAAAAAAAAAAAAATAGTGACTTTTTTTTAATTTTTTAATTTTCCGAAAAATTATGACAAAAAAATTACAACTTCAAAAAACTCGCCATGCCTCTTATGAAATATGTAGATCTGTCTACTCTGCAAAAAGTGGTCATTTGGGGGATATCTGTACTGTTCTGACATTCTGGGACCTCAAGAAATGAGATTGGCTGTCAGTACTTCAGGATTGATCAATATTCAGATCTATACCATAGTTTGTGAACTCTATAACTTTCCTACAAACTAAATAATACATCCTAATTTGGGTTATTTTCACCAAAGACATGTAGCAGAATACATCTCGGCCTAAATTTATGAAGAACAATTATTTATTTGTAAACTTTTATAACAGAAACAAAGAAAAACGTGTTTTTTTTTTCCAAAAATTTCGGTCTTTTTTTGTTAATTTAGCAAAAAATAAAAACCCCAGCGGTGATTAAATACCACCAAAAGAAAGCTCTAGTTGTGTGAAGAAAATGATAAAATTTTAGTTTGGGTACAGTGTTGTATGACCGCGCAATTGTCATTCAAAGTGTGAGAGCGCTGAAACCTGAAAAATGGCCTGCGCAGGACGTATGGAAGCGGTTAATATTCCCAACCTTTTTTTTTGGATTTGTATACATGTTTTTTTGACATTTTCAGACTTGAGTGTTTTTGTTTTAGCCAATGGAAAGCTAGTTACTAGAAGGAGAGGCAAAAGAAATTGTATGAAAAACATTAGTAGACATTAATAATGGTTCTTATGGTAAGTTAAGCACATTCACAAGAAAAAAAAACAAAATTAAAATGATTGGTTCCTATTTAGTGTTGCTAACGTGGCTGATTTCTGCTACCAAATTATAATTTCTTAAGGATACCTTATTATTGTTATGGTTTCTTATATATTGGCTATCAATTAATTTTTTGTGTTTCTCTGATTTCAGGCAATGTTAATCTTCCAAACCCTGGAAGCCATTTTGCTGAGAACAGCCAGCGACTTGTCACATCTGAGTGTTGCTGGGGTTAACATAGTCAAATATGTACTGAATACACACATGAAGCTGATCTATTCCTCTGTGTACTCAGAAACCCACAGGTAACGGATTTCCTAGGGGCTGCCATGTTCTCAATGTACTTTTTCCATAACATGGGTGGGAAGGTCATTCTCTATTGGATAGCAGAGTCACAGGTTTTCCATCCTTGGAGTGCATTTGCCTGTACGTGGACCAATATTCCAAATTTATTAGGTTTTTTTGGTTCTATTTTTTATATAGTTTTTTTAAATTATATTTTACTCTAATCATCCTTTATTATTTTTCACTTTTGTTGTGGGTTAGAAATGATCACGTAATAATTATAAAGGGATACAGAAAGTCATTGTGATAGGTTTCTGCTGAATTCCTCCTATATGAATGTCTGCAAGCTTGAACTCTCACCACTACATTCTAAAAGGATAAGTTCACCTTTGGGAACGTGTTACATACTCCACCTGTTTTCAGGGTGGAATATGTAACATGTTTCCCAGTGCTGCAGACACTGCCCAATTTCCCCCCTCCCTGTGACAGAAGTACGGGGAGCTTCTACTGTCACTTTTTAAAAATGGTTCCGACCACATAGCCACATCATTCGTTCACAGTGAATGAATTCACTACACGTCCCGACAGCCTTAGCGGCTGTTGGCTTGTGGTTCTCAATGAACTACCACGGCGCTGTAGTAGTTCTTTTAATCTTCCTGTCAGTATATCTGCTTGCCTGTGCATCCCGTACTGGCAAGTAGATATACTGACAGGTCTGCAGGAGACCTGCATGGCACCAGCGATCTGCTGATCACTGTGCAATGCTTTATTGGCTCCTGCAACCAAAAATAATAATTTCACTTTCTTTTTTTTTTCCTTACCTGCAAAAAAAAAGTGTGCATTTATTATTTTTGGTCAAAATGTGATCTTATCCTTTTAAGCTCATCACACATTACAATTTGACTGTATAATCTCCTTTTATATCTACTAGCAGGAGCCTGCCTGATACAAATTGATTGGATATTTTATCTAGGTCCTCATAGTTTTGGGAGAAATTACATTCATGCCTGTAAAAGAACAGTGCTAATACCTTTCCATTTTGCTGCCCTCACCTCTGAACACTGCTCAATCCAGTAGCGCTCTTACTCTGAAGTCTGCAACAAAACCCACACTTTAAGAAGTGTTGATCTTTGTGGTCCCTGCAGTTATCACTGGTACCTACCTCTAACCCCCCTTAGTCAAGGAGAGAGTTGTCATGTGAAGGTCAGGAGGCGGCTGCAGTGAGAGCTATGGGGGACCACAGAGACCAACGTGTACAGTGATGTAGCTTTCACTGCAGACTTTGGAGGAAAGGTTCTGCTGACGAAGTGGTGGTCAGTGTCGGCGACAGCAAGAAAGATAAGTATTAACACTGTTCTTTTAATGGTATGACTTTACGAACCAGTTTAACTAGCCTACTGGGCAGTTTCAGCCCCTTCCTGCTCAGGCCAATTATCAGCTTTCAGTGCTGTCGCACTTTGATTATCAATTGCAATACTGTACCCAAATTAAATTGATATAGTTTTTTGAGACAGAGCTTTCTTTTGGTGGTATTTAATTGTCACTGGGTTTTTTATTTTTTGCTAAACAAATGAAAAAAGACCGAACATTTAAAAAAAACAAATCGTTTTCGTAGTATTACAAACATTTAAAAATAAGTAAATTTTCTTCTTCACTGATGAGCATTGATGGGGCTGCTTTGATGGGCATTGATGAGACTGCACTGATATGCTGCACTAATGGACACTGGCACTGATGGGGCTGTAGTACCCTGATTATGAGTGTAAATGTCCCCTGTCACAGAAAAGCTGGTTATGTGCTTTCCTTTCCTCAGTCAGTGACAGCACTGGAGAAGGGAAATGCAGATAACCGGAGGTTTTTTTTACATGTGATCAGCTGTGATTTGGACAAAGCTGATTACATGGTAAAGAGCCAGTCTCATTGGCTCTTTACCCTGATCGGTGATGCACTGTGTCCAAAGGATACAGCTCACCACCGATTGGTTGCGCTGCAAGCCTCCAGGGGCATTCACAAACTGTTACCAGGAGGACGTTATATGATGTCCACCTGGAGGGATGAAAAGCCCGCCCAGCCGTCAATCTGCTATATGCCAGGCGGGATCTGGTTAATGATGGGGTCACTTGGGACCATGCGCATTGGGGACAAAATAATTCTTCTTGTACAGGAATTTTTTCTTCAGCCTATTTAAGAAACTCAGCCTATGTGTCCATGCACATTAGGTTTTTTAGAGGTATATTTGCAGAGAAGCGTTTTCAGGCAGGAATAAAAAAAATATCACAATAGGCACTTTTAGGGTCCATGTGCACTAGGGTTGAATAAATGCCAGACCCTCTGGCAGAAAAAAGCAGCAGAAAAATGTTCATAGTGGCTCATATTGCACAAGAGTTTACAAGAGTTTATGGGCATTTGCTTTATTAAGCATTTTTTTTTTCCCCAAAACATTCACCTCTGCTCATTTTTCAATGTACACGTGAAAATGCCAAACACTTCTAAATGCCGTGTTTAGACACGTTTTATAAGTATAAGCATTTTTGCTGGAAATTTCAACTCAAAAACACAATTCTGAAGGTTTTTATTTTCTGCCTCTAAATGCTCCTCTGAAAATATATTTGTAAACTCTCTATTGTGCATGGACACGTAGACTAATAAAGCGCTGCTTCTACAGGCTGAAGAAAAAAATGCAGAACATCTGTATAAGCAGCATTTTTTTTTATGCCCAGTGTGCATGGACCCTTATGCTGCTTTTTGTGTCAGAGGTTCAGGCATTTTTTCTGCTCCTAGTTTACATGGACCAAAGGTGTAGGTTTTCTTGTCTTGAATAGAGTGGTGATGGGAAAGAACCCCTGTCAGATTATTACTGCTGTCCGGGGTTCTGTTAGGAAAGATCGCTGCTGCTATGCTAACCCTCTTATCTATCAGAGTATAGTTAGAAGTCCTTATCTGCTTACTTGTTCTGGGTTTAGAGACTCAAAGTACTGGAACATGACGGCATCGTATTTAGCTTATATCCATGGTTCTTCCAGGGTAGGTTGACCCATGGGAGTAGAAACCATATTGACAAAGACAAACATGCACAGCTACCTAATTTTTGAGTTCTGTAGGATTTCACTGCAGGATCCTTTTGGTATGTTGAGGTGAGAACCACCCAGTCTACACATGCTGACTGTGTTGTGATAACACTAAAAGGGGAGAGCAGACTTGGCAGAGAGCTGTGTTGTACATTATATTCTTTACACTGCATAATCTGCTGCATGTTACATACTTCAGACCATGCCGTTGTTTATGTATAGTAGATGCTCAACTTCTCTTCATCCCATATACCATTCCATTCCATTGTTACATATTCCAGAACACTGAAAGCTGTGTTGTAAATTATATACGCTACATAGATCCATCTAGAACTGTGCTGTAAGTTGCATTCTTTGGACTGCTCTGCTCATTATACTGTATGTTGTATAGTCCACACTGCTCCACTGCTATAGTTTCTTGTGCGCTATGAGCTCCACTGTTCTCCACACTGTGCTGTACATTACATACTCTGGACTGCTAATAATTTAACACAATATTTCCAAAGCAGTAGGCTGAAGTTATTTGTATCACCTCTGTTTCCTTCTTCTAAAAACCTCCAATTCACTAATCTGCACAGGATGTCTCGAATTTGCCTCAACTTGTTGTCTGCAATGGTGACACAAGGACCAGACTGTGCCAGGGATGTGTTCAGCCATATTGATTTCAACAACAAGTACCTACCAGGATTGCTAAAGAAAAGGGACAAACAGGTATCTTCAGCACTCCAAGCATGCATATTGATCCATGAAACTGGCTAGACGATAGATCATATCTGACTGTCACAGATTCATCTTAGGTCTGTGGCTACCTTTACATTTGTGGAGAGCCTATAAATAGTTGGGGGCTATCTATAAAAGCTGGTGACCAACTGGGTTTCAACTTTTATCCTCTGTATTTTTTAAATGTAGTCAGATGCTTATTTATAGATTATAAAAAATGATCGATTTCCATACCAATGTATGTAACAAATAATGAACCATGAAAGGAAAATAAAATACAAATAATTTTATATTGTAGAAATGAAGGCTGATACCAAGTCAGCCACAGAAACTTACACTTCTCGCTTTTTCTTTTTGTTTTTTTCTCCCAAATATTTTTTTTTGTTGGTTTTAGAAAAATGCTCTACAAAAAAAGAGCCTTTGGGCATTCCACAGCTCAAAAGAAAACACAACATGAAAAAGAACAATCCCATCCGTAGTCACAACTCCGGTACTACTCAATAAACAAGGGTAGCATCATCCACATGGCCAAGCAAGGCAATCAGGAGGTAGAAGTTAGGCACTATATTAGTGATTGGGCACATATTGAATTTCAAAAATATAAGCAAGAAAATTAGGCGTAAAGCACAAAAAAATAATAAAGTGTAGTATGAGCAATATATAATCTCAGGGAGATGCTAAAAAGTGAAGGTGGGGACTGTGCCAGGTCAACCCCTGCGTAGCCTCTCCCCCTCAAGGAACATAGACTTCACGCACCATCCACTTTAGCATTAATAGTAGAGGGAGATTTGATCCAAATATCCCAGACCTTATGAAATTTTTTGGGGAAACTTCGGGAGAGATAAGTCATTTTATACGATAAGACCACTAAATTAACCAGTTTCTTACAGCTCTCCAAAGTCTATCCGATTTCCACGCCAGAACAATGGCTTTTCTAGCATTGAACAAAAGTAGACCCAAAAGTGTTCAAAAGGCCCTAGAAAAGGTTAGATGGTTGACCAAGCCCAGGGGACAAACAGCCACCATTTTAGGGACAGAAATTGTGATTACTGAGCAAAAAAACTGTAAGATATTTGCCCCAAATGCTTGTATGCAGGAACAGGACCAAAAGATATTAAAAGTCTGCAGGTGTGTCTCCGCCTTGCCAACAATAAGATTCCATTGTGGGGTAAATACGGTGTAGTCTCTGTGGAGTAAGGTAAGCTATGTGAAGAAATATGAACTATGTTGGCCTGTCCCGTGTGGCCACCAATCTGACCTGTCCGGATCTAGTACTTTCACCTGCCACATGGATTGTAAAAGCTCAAGGCCAACATGCTCTAATGGCTGTAAAGCCTTGTAAGTTGTGGATGAAGGCTTTGCCGGATCTTCATTACATAGTAAAGATTCCAAATCACTTTGGAGTAGGTGAAGTGTAGAATGTCCAAATCGGAAGATGTAGGCTTTGAGCAGTTGCAAAAACTGGGAGAATAAGGAATTCGGGAGATTATGGTTTTGTTTTAGCTCATCAAAAGTAATCAGGGAACCCCTGTCACAAATGTCAGTCAAATATTTTATATCACGTGAAGCCCATATTGAGGGTTAAAGGATAGTCAAGAATGCTGGGAGATTTGGATTAAACCAGAGAGGAGTATTGAGGGAACCGTTCTTGCATTTAAAAAAGTAATTTTCATGGTCCTCTTGTTGCATTACTTTGTGTATTTTAAATCTGGCCGGAGTTTAGTTTGAAGGGAAGCTAAAAATGCTTTTATGTCAATTTAATTTTCAATGTCCCCCATTCCTTTTGCATGATTGAAACTTTGTGAAATCTGCTGTTTTTTCCTTTGTAGGGAAGACCGGACGTCAGGATGGCATATATACAGTTTGCTCTCTCCTTCCTAATTTCTGGAGATAATACTACCATTGTTCAAATTCTGGAGCTCAAAGGTAATCTATGTATAGCGATTATAGCTGGGTATACACCTTGAATTATTTATCATTCAGCGGTTTGAGCAAAAAAAAATCCTCACAAATCCTCACATCAACACAAGTGATGTTGATGCAGGGATCTCTGCCGCTGTGTCTTTGTGTTCTGCACAATACACAGATCAGCGCTGCAGTCAGGAAGTGCTGATCAAATACTTGTTTTCCAGCATGACCAATCGACAGAAGCTGGTTGCTGTTGAACAGAGGGCAGTACACATGGACTAAAATTCTGCCTGTTCCTGCTGAATGAGCCAAATTTCAGTACATGTATACCCTGCCTAAGCCTATGTTCGTACTAATGCGGTGCGGGAAACCTCGTAATCCGCACGTGTTTCCTGCCTCTCATTCCAGTCGCACTGGCCTTGCAATCTGCAGTGTGTGTCAGTTCTATCTTAACGATACTCCAAACGCAATACGTTTTCCTGCATCAGATCGCATGGTACAAAATGACCATGCGATCTGATTGCAGTGTGGCTCCAAAATTGGTACATGCGAGTCTTTGCTGTGATCTGCACTGAATCGTGTGTGAATTACACAGGAATGTAGTGCTGTTGCTGTGCGATTCCTATGCGGTTCTCAGTGTGAACCTAGGCTAAGACATGTTCACTCATCTGCACACTTATAATCAAATCATATCAAGACAGTCCAACGTACCAGGCCACTGAAGCACTGTGGTCTTATAACACTGACATCCTGTGTGTTGTGGTCTCCTTTTTGAGTGGGCTTTCTCCTGTTTATCCAACTCCTATTTCAGAGGGATTAAATCAAGACACAGGCTGCAGGTAGAAGACTCTCATCAGCAAGCCTGTTCCATTGTAATGCTGACAGAGCAGGAGCACACCCCTGAGGTCAGCCCAACTAGACTGTGGTCTGTTCAGTAAAGGGGAATGTCTTAGGAAATCTTTTTCTTTCTATAGTGGTATATGATTTTGACTACCAATGATTCCAGGGGGAAATAAAGGACAAAGATTATGCCTTAGATGTCTGTTGTGTCCACAAAAAAATATATAGAAGAAATACTGGTAAGCACCAGGACAAGTGATCGTGAATAAGTTAATGTAGTATTTATAAAAGCCAGTGGATGGTACTGTTGGCTATGTGAAGATAATATCAGTAACACTCTGTTACAATACATAAGGCACATGACTTTACTGCGGAGAGCATTGATGATTTACCTAATTCATAAACCATATCATTTATATTTCTCTTTTCATCAGTCTAGAAGTGTTAGCCTGTGTTATCATAAAAGTTACAGTTTTTTATTCTAGTAAGCCCAGAAATTATATCACTTTAACTCCTACATTTGCTAAGTGGGCTGATTTCTGATTGGCTTTTACAGGTTCATGTATTGTTTCGTTTATTAACTTGTGTTGAAGAATAGTGACATGCTGTATCCTTCCACATGGAGAGAAAGAAACAGAGGGCACACCAGCCTAGTGCATTACCTTAAAAGTATGTTTATTGAATGTTAAAAATAGGTATTGTACTCACAAATAGTCAATAATTAAAAGGCACATCATGAAAGAACAGCTCTGTCCAATTCGCACTGCGTATCTGTCTGTAATGAGAATTCTGGACATCAAAAGGCTGTCGTGTTTCGAGTACTAGCCTCTTCCTCAGAGCCATATAAACTTCGTTATGTGGTCCCAGGGCTTTTTTTCTCAGAGGAAAGGTGGTGGAACTCCCCCACCCAAACCTGGCCACGCCCCCATCAAACCCTAGGACCACCCCTTTAGAGAACAGGAATGCAAGTAAAATTTGGGAGGGGCTTCCGATGACATCATTTCCCGTACATACCATATAAGGGAAATGATGTCATCGGACCCCCGGCTGCCTCTTTGCATGATCTGCATGAAACACATGCATAGATATAAAATGACTAATGTACTGACACCAGAAACACATGCATAGATATAAAATGACTAATGTACTGACACCAAAACACATGCATAGATATAAAATGAATACCGTACTGACACCAGAAACACACGCATAGATATAAAATCAGTACCGTACTGACACCAGAAACACATGCATAGATATAAAATGACTAATGTACTGACACCAGAAACACATGCATAGATATAAAATCAGTACCGTACTGACACCAGAAACACACGCATAGATATAAAATCAGTACCGTACTGACACCAGAAACACATGCATAGATATAAAATCAGTACCGTACTGACACCAGAAACACACGCATAGATATAAAATCAGTACCGTACTGACACCAGGAACACATGCATAGATATAAAATCATGGCAGGCCGTTTGTAAACGTCCAGCATAGATATAAAATCAGTCTAGCATGCATGTGTACCCTGTCTGGTAGATGTGCCTGCTCCTACAGGCTCCCCTAGGGTTGCCACCTTTTCCTCCAAAAAATACCGTCCATCACTGAATTTATCTTTCCTGTTCCTCATGCACAGGAGGGGCGCTCTCGATCGGCGCCGCTGAGCGCTGAGCAATTGCGTTCTGAAATAGTTTAGGTGGGCTCAGGTGGGTGAGGATAGTTTAGGTGGGCTCAGATAGTTTAGGTGGGCACAGGTGGTTGGGATAGTTTAGGTGGGCACAGGCTGGGGAGAGAGTAAAAATTTAGAGCAATACATGATACTGCAGTCAGTGACAGGGAGCCGAGCGCAGCTTACCTACTCCAAGCTGTACGGCCCCTGTGTCCACGCTGTCACTGCCGTTGATGTCGCCGCGCCGCCCCCGATGTTTACACGCCGGCGGGGGGGGCGGTGAAGCGTGCATAGTGTCCTCGCCCATCGTCCGCGCCCCCGATGTTTACACGCTGGCGGTAGAGGGGGGGGGGGGTGAAGCGTGCATGTCCCCGCTCACCGGCTGTGAGCAGCGGCAGTGACAGGTGCCGGGCACGCGCAAGCATGACATAAACAAGCCGCGTCCGGCACCTGTCACTTTCGCTGCTCTGCATAGCTTGTCAGCTCTGCAGAGGCAGTCGGTGAGCGGGGACAAGAAGAAAAAGGTGGCGGAACGCAGTACCGCCGCGTTCCGGCAGAAAGAAAGCCCTGTGTGGTCCTAATGACATTGAGTCCATCCCTAAGCGCAGGAGTATCTGGGTTTTCTAATTCTACACTAGCTGGCTGTCTGGTTACACAAAAAGCATGTCCGATCTGCTGAGATATAGAGGGACTGCCCAGTTATAAAGTGGGACTGACTGATGCACGACTGCACACCCAGTACTGGATGCACACAATTGTTCTTTTTGCCATGAATAATATTTTAGTTATAATGCATTGTTTATTTTGGAGCGCAGTATTTTATGGTAAATGTAGAATACGTATATGGATCAAATATCCAGTACTGTATCATTTACTGTATGGTACTATTAGGATACATATAACACAGGTAGATTGTAGAATAGGAAGTATATAGTAGCACTGCACTGGTTTTGGATTTTTCCTATTTTCATTCATGTTGAAGAAAGTAACCACATTTGTAGATTATAGCCATTTGGGAGGATCCCACTTGTCCATCTCTGAAATTGTGACCTTGATCTCTGAATGACCCAGAAACTATAATGGTTATGGGTCAGTTTTTAGTTGCTTTGTAAACCGCTCTTTCGTATCTGATGTAGATTATATATAAATACAAATGTACAAAAATAGTCATTTATTTAGTTAAATATATAAGGTTTAACCATCTTTAGTTATACCATCATGCTGCAGTATTTTTATTCCTTTCCCTATTGTTTGTATTTCTTATGTTACTGCATAGAAGTATCTCATAGATTGTGCAATGTATGCAGTTGTATCTACTAATATTGCAATATTTATATGCAGCATCTAGTGGTCAAGAGGGACACTTACAACTCCCTTACAAATCTAATATACATTATCTATCTTGTATAATATAAAATAAGACAAGAGCCACTTCTTGTTTCCTGTTTAAGGGAAACGTGTAGGGTTGGAGCATTTTCTAAAGCTGGCCAAATATGAATCCAAATTCAGGGACCGGACAATTTTCGATCCTTGTATGGGCACTGTGGTTGAACAGAAATCAATCTACCAATCAACTTCTGTTCAACTGCCCTGTTTTAGCTGCTTGATCAGACATCGGAAATATTCCCTGCTGTCAGAATACAATAGCTCAGTGGATGGGGGGAATCGGATTAGTTTTTTTTTTTTTTTTTGTTGAACTCGCTGGTTAAATGAAAGCAGCAAATCATCTATGAACAGTTTTTAACTCAGTCTGCTGTCTTCGTCTTCCCCCCTCTCCTCCATTTTGCACAACAGCACCACCTTTTCCTGCAGACCTGGATAGTTCAACATACCTAGAATTAAAAGATAACTTCACCTTTTGGAGCATGTTGATATGTTAAACCCATATTTAGGCTGTAACCTGTAACATGTTTCTATGCACCCACCTCCCGCCACCAGCGCTCCCCTCTCTGTGACAGCGGGCTTGGGATCATCTTCTCACACCCGCTGTCACAATTTGATAACAGCGAAGTCCTGCAGGGCTCCACCCACACTGCTGCGTTATTCAGTCACTGTTTCCATTGTGGCTAATGGATTGTAGTTGAAAGGGCGCTGGTGAGTGCTTTCGTAATTCATTGTTTCTTCCTGCAGTTCAAGTGGTTTTAAAGGCTCAAGGTTTTTTTTTTTACCTTCATGCATTCACGAGAGCCTCAGCTCCCTAGGGACTCTCCCTCCTCATTGGCTGAGACAGCAGCTGGAGTCATTGGCTCCTTCCGCTGTCAGTCACAGCCAGTGAACCAATGAGGGGAGAGAGGGGGCAGGGCCGAGCCATGGTGCTTTGTGTGAATGGACATGCAGAGCAGCAGCTTTGGAGCGAGCCTGCCTGGGTACACCCATTGAAAGCTGCTTGTTTGGGGGCACTCGGCAGGAAGGAGGGGTCAGGAGTGATGGCGGGGGGACCTGAGAAGTGGAGGATTGGGGCTGCTCTGTGTAAAACCACTGCACAGAGCAGGTGAGTATAACATGTTTTTTATTTTTTTTTAAATTGCCTTTAATATCACTTTCAGTAACTGTCTGCCCATATGAGAGGTTTGAGCAGACAGCTTACGGAGAGTCTACAGGATGTTAGTATTACACCCACGAACTGCTGATCGCGGGTTCAATGCTTTACAGGCTGCAACATGCAAAAAGAATTGCATTTATTATTTTTCTTTACGAAAGGAGAACATAGCCTTTAAAGGAGAAGTACAGCCAAAGCTCTTAGATTACAGGAGTACAGTTTGTTTTGCACTCCTGTGACCCGTTTTTAGCTGACAGCGGGCTGAAGCTCATTGTCAGCTGATGTCACTCAGCCGGTCCAGGCTGGTGAAAGATCCGACTTTAAAGTCGGGGTCCACTTCAGAGTCTGGAGCAGCACCTGGCTCAGCCTCTTAGTGATCTTCTGAGAGCCTGAATCATTCGCTCCCTCCTCCTCCTCAGCCCAGTGTTCCAGTGAGCACAGGGGGGGGTGGAGCAGAGAACGGTGACTGACAGTCACTGCTCTCTGCTCAGAGTGGCAGTGAGAACTCAGCGATCAGTGGTCATGAGCTGCTGGGGAACAGATGCAGTATTGGACTGATGCTGCATCCACCTAGGTAAGTATAATTTGGAGGGAAAAAAACACACTTCTCTTTTACCCTTACACTTCATGGCTAATGCACCACCTCTCTCTCTTTGCTTTCCTCCTCAGTGTTGCACCTCTTCTTCCCTAACACACTCTCCAAAGCAATGTTACATTCTACTGTGTGTGTTCATTGTTCACTCTTCTTTTTTTTTTTGGTCATCCTTTGCTTTCACTTGAGTGCACATACTCTGGAATGATTGCTCATCAGGTGCTGGGCTACCTCCACTTATTATACAAAACAAATGAAGTAACCACCGACATAAAACACACTTGCATGGATGGGAAACGGACACACTTACAGAGCAGACATGCACAGTCAAGGCAGAGACATGCAATTAGATCGTACAAATATGTGTGGTGAGGGGAGATGCTAGCAGCCAACGAAATGTCAGCTCAGGCTGTAAGGCCTCCATGGAGGCTGATCTGCCTCCTGCTGGAGTTAAGGCTGATAACTGAGGCTCTGTTTAGTCTTTTGGAAGAAGATAAACCAATCACTTTAGAAAGTCTTTATAGTTTCATGTAATCCTATCAGTGCCTTTTGTTATATAGTAAGTGAGTGTGTTATCAGCTCATACAGAATATAGGATGGCCTTACAAACTAACACTCAGTCTGATATGTCCGCTGTGACAAAAGGAATACAAATCAAAATTCCTGAAAGGAAAGACTGCACCATTATCTGATTGCTGTTGTTTTTTTTTTTCTTTTAGGTTTTTTTTACTGAGATTTTCTTCACTGGGATAAAGGAAGATAGAATATCTACCATAAACCTCCTGTTATCCTTGCTGCAAACCAAGGTGAGGTCTCTGTTCTAATACAGTACTTTCAAAGCTTAAACTTCTCTGTGTTCATTAGCCCTTCCCAAACTTTTATTTTAAAGTCTAAATTCACCTTTAGGAACATGTTACACCTTTATTTAGGGTGTAACATGTTCCTAAGCATCCTCTTACCACCCCCAAAGCCTATCCTTTGTGACATCAGGCAGGAGTTGTCTTCTCCCCCACAGCCCGTCACATTTAAAATAGGGGCAGATCTGTGAATGAATAAACTACAAGTCCTGTCTTCCACCCACAGCAGATGGACTTGTAATTCATTGATACTTCCTTCAACTTTCTAACTGAAGCCCATACAGAAGTAGAGGCAGAAAACTGGAGGGAGAGTGTGTAGAAGCCTGACATTGCATCCGTGATCCACTGATTGCAGCTGCAATGTATTGGAGGCTTCATTGGGAAAAAAATAATGCAGTTTTTTTCCTGCAAAAATAAGTGCATTTTTTTTTTCATAAAGGTGAACTTGGCCTTTAATTCTGGATGGCGTACCTTGTTAGTTCTTCCTTTTTTTTTTTTATTATTATTATTATTATTGTATTATTATTCCTTGTCCTGTCAGGAGGAATTCCCTTCACTTCCTAGACACACTAAAAGAAGAAAGAAAACATCAATTTTGTTTTCTTTATAATGAACAATTTTTATGAGTCACAATTTACAATAAAACAAAACCTTTAGGCAATAAGTAGTACATATTATACTAGTTTAAATAACCTAGAGAAAGGTAGGGGCCTCAAAGGAGGACATCTATATTAGGCCAGGGGAAATCCCTCTGACAGTCGCAACTGGAACAGGTCATTGGACATTTGTTCACCAGGGTATAATATAGAGGATGCACACCCCAGAGGGGCTCAGACAGCAATAAAAACCTGACAGGGGTTCTAACACTTCCTAACTGTATCCAAATGAAGATAAATGTTGTTGTTATTTAATATGTCATCCTATTTTTTCTTTTATTCCAGCTTGCTTCATTAATTTCCCATTCAGTGTATTTTTGTAATTCTTCTTGCAGGTTATTCACAATAAAGCCATCACAAAGACCCAGAAAGTGCGTTTTTTTACTTCTGCCATTTTGAATCAAATAGCTTCGCTATACCGCTGGAATGGCATTGTAGATGTCAGCAAGAATGTGCAGGTACAGTGTCCTTAGGCAGATCATTCTTGTGTGAAGTATGCTGTGCTGTTTTAGGGATTGGATCAGAACCGTGTAGTGCATATCTGATATTAATTTTTATGGTGACAACCAGCTACATCAGTCCCTGCTACCAGTAGTCATACGTTTTGGTGAAATCATAGGTTCAATTTTCTGAATTAATCTTGCATTGATTGTTCTTCATGACCCATTATCAATCATCCAAAACTGATTTCATGTTTAGTAATTTCAGGTGGTAGACAAAGCTTTGTAAATTTTTGGGGTCTCCAGTGATAAAAAAAAAAAACCCTCTTTTGAGTTTCCAACTGTACCTGCCAGCTGTCACCAGTACTTGGAGAACTTGCGGTATAGGCTTGCATTGTTTCTCACATTAGCAAATACAGAAGGAGAGCAAAACCACTAGAATACAACATTAGGAGCAGAAGAATTAATCCCAAAGGGGAATATCTGTGCTGGCGTTCACAAGAGTTAGAAACTACTAGCGGTGTAATATGTACTCTGTCATCTACTTCTAACTGAAGTGTCAGTTTTTTGTGAACTTAGCCCTTAAGATGTATTCTCTGTATGTTATGCTAGTGAGTTTGGCTGTTATACACCAGTTATTTTATTTTAAAAATTCCTAAGTGTTCACTAAAATAATGTTTCGGTTTTTTTTTTCTTTTTCTTTAGGACACAAATGATCCCAAAGAAGCGGGGAAATCGATGATAAGGGAGCTGGTACACAACTTCCTGAAGGATCTGTGCTGCTCTTTAAAGCATGGAATTAATTTCTATGATCCAAGCTTGGGCACAGCTGCAAGGTGAAAGAAATAGAAATATAATTAAGCACCATTTTTCTAGAGCTATACAATGACAGAATACAGACTGCCCAAGTTTCAGGGACAGATTGTCCAGATTACCTAATTCCGTTTTCGTGTTACAGAAAGAGGCGTGCCCAAGCTGTTGAGCTGTAGAGAGGGACTTAGTGGGTTATAGCCAGCTATTGAGAAGCTGCTCATGCTGACAGAGATTATTATGGTCCTCTATTGTTCCTTACGTTTCACACCTTAAAATGAATATGGACAGCAGTGTGCATTAAGGCCCCTTTTAAAGTGATTATAAAGTTTTTTTTTGCAAAATAATAAACATGTCTATACTTACCTGCTGTGTGCAGTGGTTTTCCACAGAGCAGCCTGGATCCTCCTCTTCTCTGGTCTCCAGCAGGCTCTCCTGGCTCATTCTTTCTGTTGCATGCCCCCACAGCAAGCAGCTTGCTTTGGGGGCACCCTGCTGCTCCGTGTGTCCATTCACACAAGGAGCTGCGGCTTGGTCCCCCGCCCCCCCCTCTCCTCATTGGTTTACTGGCTGTGATTGACAGCAGCAGGAGTCAATAGCTCCTGATTGCTGTCTCAGCCAATGAGGAAGCAGAGACCTGGGACAGCCGAGGCTGTTACTCACATCGCTGGATCCCGATGAGGCTCAGGTAAGTATTGAGGGAGTTGGGGGAGCTGCTGCACACAGATGGTCTTTTACCTTCATGCATAGAATGCATGAAGGTAAAAAAACCTTCAGCCTTTACAACCACTTTAACTATTAGTTGACTAAAGATTCAACATGTCTTTTACCGTAGGGTTAAGCAGGGCTGGGGTTGCCACTAGGCAACCACCTAGGGTGCACTGCCACCTAGGGGTGCAGCCACGGCTGCTTGTTTCCCCACTCTCCGCCATAGCCTGAACTGGGGGAGGTTAAAGATTTCAGTTGTGCCCTCCCCCCCTTCCCACCTGGCCTGTCTTTCTATGAACTCTGCCTGGAGGGAGCCGGAAGGTGCGGGCTGTGCTCTCCTTTCCCGTCAGTGGAGCGATCCTCCATAAAGCAGATGACACAGGATCTCTCTTATATTGGCATGTTCAGTGTTTCATTTGTTCCTTGCTCCCTGCTGCCGAGAGATGAGCGGTCATTGGAGATAGGGGACAGAGTAGTCAAATTGTGTACAGCCCGATCCAAGAGCGATCATGTGTCATCTACTGTATGTAGGATCTCTCCACTGACAGGAGTGAGAGCATAGCACAACCCACAATTCTACCTGGTTTAAGCCTGTAAGTTTGGGGTCGGGCTTACAGGTTGGGGGAACTGTACACAATGAAAGGGGTGGGGGGGAGGGCTAACAATCATTTGTGCTGAGATGAAAGGTTTGTGCAGTAGGGAGAATGGGGGCTATTTGTGCTGGAAAAGGAATAGGGAATGATAGGATGGGGAGGAATTTGTGCTAGGAGAAGGAATTGGGGGATATATGCTGGGGGGTTAAGGGGATTTGTACTAAAAGGGGGCATGATTTGGGTAAGGTGGGAGGATTTTATGCCAGGAAGGGTAATTTGGATGGGTTTTATCTACAGGAGAGACTTAGGGGAATTTTGTCCTAGGTGGGGGGATTGAAGGAAGAGGATTGGTGCTGGGAGGGGGGCTTGGGGGTATTTGTGTTAGGTGGGGGGATTGGAGGCAATTTGTGCTAGGAGAAGGGGATTGGGGGAAATTTGTTCTAGGAGAAGGGGATTGGGGGACATTTGTGCTAAGAGAAGGGGATTAGGAAGGGATTTGTGTGTAAGAGGGGATTGATCTAGGAGGGGGGATAGGGGGACTTGTGCTAGGATAGGGAATAGGGATTTGGGTGGGGAGGAAGGATTTGTGCTGGGAAGGGTAGTTTGGAAGTGGTTTTGCTAGGAGGAGGGATGTAGGAGGATATGTGTTAGGAGGGGTGAAGTATAACTACAGATGACAATTCATTTGTTTATTCTTTTGGGGGGGATTGCAATTAGCTGGACTTGCCTAGGGTTACCATCGGCATTGGTGTTAATAGCTATGCAGAGCTGAGCATGGCAAATATCTCCCAAGGAACCAGTGTGGCGTACAGGGAAGCTTTGTTTCCCTTGCTAGATCAAGTGATAGATCACATAGTTCCATCATCCATAAAGTCTTTAATGCTCTCAGGAACCACTGAGGTTCCTCCCTTCCCTCACTATGGCTGTGACAATGATTGTTCTGTACATGACTATACAGACTCCACTTGAAGACAAACGATAGAGCATATCTGGGTCCATGTGAAATCTTTCATAGAAGTGCAGAAAGGACTAAAGCTCACCATACGTATTTACTATCTAACTGTACAATCAGCTTTAGAGTTATCTAAACTATGTTAATGGAATCCTACCTCCCAGTCAAATAGTGTTCAATCTGGCATGCCCTTGCACTGCATAATTGTTGGCAAATCTAAAGGAGATTGTACAAACAGATTGTAACATGTGGTGGCCATAGGAGTTATAAAGAGTAACTAACATCTTCCTACTGGGGTGCTTCAACAGAAAACATAACTGTTTATCATTTTACTTAAATGACTATGGATGGTGGTGTGCACTGAAGCCCATTTAAACTTTGTTTGCTGTACCTAGGGCTGGTAACTTGGTCCTCCTGCAGTTCCTGGTTGGACTGAAATCAGCGACTGAAGATGAGCTGGTTGGGGAGTTGGTGGTGAATATACTAAAGGTTTGTCCAGATTTACTCAGCCGGTATTTTAAGGAAACACAATACTCTTTTGTTCCCCGACTCAAAACTGCCTGGCTGGACAACATCAAACTTCTGAAAAAGGTGAGTCTTCATAAATGCTTTATTGCTTCTTGTTGAAAATGCATTCCTTCACACTCTGCAAAATCAGTAGAGGGCTACTAAAAATGGACCAATAATATACTTTCCATCGTCTTTATTGTAATGTTTTCTGCTCTTAAAGTGATATCACTTACAGTTGAACTATGGGCAAAAAGAATGACTTGTTTTGTAGCCTGTCAATAGCATTAATAAAGCAATTTTTGGTTTTCTAATTCCCCGCTGTTGCACAGTTTTTTTTTATATGTTGATCCTGGCAGTAAATCCATTGCATTTACTCTTCCTGTCGCAGGTCATCCTGTCTGGCCAATATCACAGATAAAGAGGATGGGAGAAACCATATAACACTGCCAGGGCTGCTTACAGCAGTGTTCTCACATCCATATGGTTTTAACTTATCTTTTGGAAAGCAAAAAAAAAATGGTTTCTCTAACTCGGGAGTCTCCAAATTTTTTGAACAAAGGGCTTGTTTACTGTCCTTTTAAATGTTAAGGGGGTGGGGGGTAGAAAATGGTAATAGTGCAAAAAATAGTGCCCCATCAATAGTGTTAGTGGGAAGAATGCCTCATCTTTCATGTCAGAGGAAGAATAATGGATCACCATTAGTATTAGTGGTAGGAATAGTGCCCCATTCTTGGTGTCAGTGGGAGGAATAGTTCCTCATCATTGGTGTCATTAGGAGGAATATTGCCCTGAGGGTCGGATAAAGGCAAGCCAAGGTCCACAGTTTGGAGACCACTGCTCTAACTAATTAAAAATTGTTATCTGAAGTTGGGCTTAAAGTGGTTGCAAATGCTCAAGATTTTTTACCTGCAGGCATTCTCCCCCAGCCTCCCTATTACCTCAGCCCCATTGCAATGTGCACAAGAGCCTCATCTGTCTCTCCCTTCTCGTTGGCTGAGACAGCAGCTGGAGCCATTGGCTCTCACTGCTGTCAATCACAGCCAGTGAGCCAATGGGGGGGAGGGGGCGGGTTGAACCGCGGCTGTGTATGTGAATGGACATGCAAAGCAGCAGCTTGGGAGCGAGCCTGCCTGGGTGTCTCCATTGCAAGCTGCTTGCTCTGGGGGCACTCGGCAGGAAGGAGGGTTCAGGAGTGCTGGCGGGGGACCTGAGAAAAGGAGGATAAGGGCTGCTCTGTTCAAAACTACTGCATAGAGCAGGTAAGTATAACATGTTTGTAATTTGACTGTGCTGCTGTTAAAGAGATTTACTGGCAGGATCAACAGGTAATAAATTTTTGTTACTGGGGGTACTCAAAAAAACAAAAACTGTTGTGTTAATGCTAGTGACAGCCTGCATCATAGTTACTTTAAAAAACAAACAAAAAAACCCCACAATATTTGTGGCGGCAGGACGTATACAGAAACTGGAACAAAACAGAAAATTAGCATTGGCCCTGTGCCAGAGTCACATGCTAATTTACTAAAATATTCAATTTTTTTTTCTAAATTGCTGTTATTTTAACATAATTAAAAAAAAAAAAAAAAATCTGTCTACAGACCTGCATTAGTGATGGAGCTTGAACTCCTGCCTCACAGACATTAATTTTAGCCGGAGAGGCAGCTCATTATATTGAATGGCCAATAGGAATGTGTGGATTGTTAATCTAACTTGGCTCTTGCAGATTTATGATGCCCAGCCACCAGTGTCTGTCGCCTTCAAGACCACAGAATATGTGCCTCTTCCACGGCTGATAAATATGGTGATGATAACAACTGTGGCTCCTGTGTGCAACAAGACCATGCTCACTCAAGGCCTTAATGTAAGTTAATGTCTAGTTTTTAGTTTTCCTGATCTGTCTTCAGTGATAGCATGCACTCTGAACTTGTGGGTATACAGTCTTTGTGCCATTCCTTCTCATGGGAACCATAGAGTAGCATCATAAAGGCCCTAGCCCTATATCCCTGGTAGCTGCAGGTATTCATTCTGTATTCTGTAGCCATTAGTTTCCTATAATGACCCTCTGGTTTCAATACTTTAAAGCAGTTACACTCAGGTCCATAAATATTGGGACATCGACACAATTCTAACATTTTTGGCTCTATACACCACCACAATGGATTTGAAATGAAACAAGAACAAGATGTGCTTTAACTGCAGACTGTCAGCTTTAATTTGAGGGTATTTACATCCAAATCAGGTGAACGGTGTAGGAATTACAACAGTTTGCATATGTGCCTCCCACTTGTTAAGGGACCAAAAGTAATGGGACAGAATAATAATCATCAAACTTTCACTTTTTAATACTTGGTTGCAAATCCTTTGCAGTCAATTACAGCCTGAAGTCTGGAACGCATAGACATCACCAGACGCTGGGTTTCATCCCTGGTGATGCTCTGCCAGGCCTCTACTGCAACTGTCTTCAGCCTATCAGAAAGTGCGTCACAGGATTACTATCACCTGAGAGTGGAAGGCTGTGTAACACAGGAACATACAACTCTGGGCTTAAATCCTGCACATAAGGAATTACTCCTAGACAGCAGTAGATAGAGCTGACCTCTTGATGGGGTTTTTTAAAGCTGAACTCCAGTCAGCAGATAATGTACACATATTTTGTGTCTCCCCCACTGGGTTGTAACAGTTAAGTTAGTTTAGGGGGCAAGAAATGGGCTGTAATTATCACGTTATTCCTCACTCCCCTGACAGCGGGTGCTCTCCTCCACTCCCAGAATGTGAAAAGGTCCTCCGCATCCTCATTTACCATGCAGGGCCTGTGGATGATCAGTCTCACAAAAGTGCTTCTCTTTGCTGGTCATATAATCTCCTGCTGACTGATGTTATCATGTGCAATTCAGAATGGCTAGTCCTGTGTTGTATGCGATGGCATCAGCAGGTGACACCGTGGGACTGGTGAGAAGGAAGGTAAGTATTTCTACCTATTACTTTTCTCCTAGACTAAAAGAGCATTTAAACCTTACAACCCGGGAAGCCACAAATACGTTTCTATCACTTGCTGACCTGTGTCCAATTTTAACCTTTTTAAAATTACAGACCACTCATTTTGTATGTCTCCATACATCCAGTAGATGTCAATAGCATAGTTTTGATCCTGCGATGTGCACGAGAGCAGAAGCTCTCCCGTGTCTCTGCCGCCTTATGTCCCGCTGCTGTCAATCACTGCCAGTGAGGAGAGACTCAGACAAACTGAGTGGGGTTCAGGAGCAAGCACACACTGGGGCTCTCAGCAGGAGGAAGGGGTCTGGAGCACCGGTGGGGTATACAAGAAGATAACAAGGCTGCTCTGTGCAAAACCATCAATTGATCACTTAAAGCTTGGAATGGAGAGTGCGGTTGCTGATGATATCTGCATGCCATATAACACTTCAAGTTGATTTCTTCACTTCAATTTCGAGTTCAATAAGTTAGAGCAGATGAATGTGTGTGCAACAGTGAACACTGCTGACAAAGTATCTCTTATATCCCTGTAAAGAAAGCACTGCAGAACCTCGCATTAGTTGCAAACGGATGCCTTATTGGCTGCATTTCTGAAAGCTATAAGGATGTAGATTTCAGGCCCTTTTAATTATTTATATATATTCAAACACTTACATAAATTTTATCATTTTTAACAAAACGAGCTGACATTTTCCCTTCTTATCATAGAATATGTTTTTCACTGTTGCAGGTGCCAAATAAGATTGTAAAACATACAGTCTTGTCCCTGATGTCCTCAATCTTGAAAAGGGCCGAGCTGAACATCAGTCATTGTCTAAAGGAAGAAGTGTGGCAGAAATCTGACTTGTACACTCCAACAGCGATGGCAGATTTCGCCCAGAAATACAGAGAGGCTCTCAGCAAGGTGAGGATAGCCTATAATGTTTTTTTCTATGTAGGCCAGGCATAAAGAATCGGGGGTATTTATCAATTTAATTTACTATAGCTTGAATCATTTAAAGTAGAATTCCAGGCTAAACCTACCTGATTTTAAAAATGCTCCCTCTCTGCTTTTAACACCTATGTTGACTAACCTGTTTGAGTAAGATGTGCATACTTACCTATTTTCAGGCCACTCTGCTGTGGACATGTTATCTCTCCTGTGTCAGGCAGAAGCAGCTGCAGGGAAGAGGAGAGGGCACTCGACAATGGCTGGAATGCCTGTGAGCAGTGACATCACTCTCGGGCTTCTATGGCCCAACTGTTGCCAGCGCTCCCTCCTTTTCTCTACAGCTGCTGTGGACTAACACAGGGGAGTTGGATCACGTGTATGACTAGCCTAAGTCTTACTTGGGGGATGCTGGAGCCCTCTAGAAACTTGCCAACCCATGAGAGGGGAAGATTCACTGTAGGCTTCTTTACAGCTCATGGGTTTCAGACCTGAATTCTTGTCCCAACAGCTCTTGCCTGACATCAATACAGTTGTAGCAACCTGGCAGTCCCTCCTGAAACACGAAGAGGCTGGAAAGGAGGAAGTAAAAAAAATACCTGGGGGAAAACCATTGGATTCCACAGGGGACCTTCCTGTACTCACAGAAAAAGAGGGTGAGGTTGTCTGTTTTTTTTTTTTTTTTCCTTTGTTTTTCTTTTCTGTTTTACCAAATTGTGGCCTCACACTGCCCCACTGCACTTTGGCAAAAGCGCAGCTAACTTGTGGTTTTTGCGCGGGTCATTTGTGCTTTCCATAGACTTCAGTTATGTCCTGTGGTTTTGGTGCACTTTCTGAAACCACACCAAAATCATGGTACATAATAAGTCTATGGGAAAGCTAACCTAATAAAAACCGCGGGCTAGCTGTGCTTTACCCAATGCACAGCAGGGCAGTGTGAAGCTGCCCTTAAGGCCATGTATTAAGGAAAAGTCAGTGAAGTGAAGCTGATCCAATTCATTTTACTTGGGAGCCTTCTCACATTTTTAAAGCTAAACTCCAGGCAGCAGCAAAATACACGTCATCTGTTTTAGCTGCCAGCAGCATTGTAATTTTGTACAACAACGTCTGCTTTTCATATTGCTCTGGCAGACAGAATAGCCAGGAGGGCTACTCAATTTTCTTTTGTTAGAGTTTTAGAGTGGTCATCACTTCACCTTCATCCTGCTGAATGGACAATGAAGTAGCAGCTACACACTGATAAGTCATCAATTCTGTTTATTCCTACTCTCAATCTCTTTCTGTAGCTCAAAAGTGAGATATTGGGGGTCTGACTAGTAAAGAAAAAAAATAGTACAACAAAATGCAAAAAAACACCAGAAATAACCCCTCACACGCACACAAATTTAACACATACACGCATCACACATATTTTGGTAATGTACATTTTATGTTGGTGCACCAACACCCTAAGGAGGTTGTCAAAACTGGAAATTGCAAAATATGGTGCACTTCTGCATAGGGTCCTGTGCTTTCAGAAAATTTATGGTGGGGGGGGGGGGGGGGGGGGGGATTTTACTAACCCATCAAAGCTGTAAGCAGAAAATACGGTAAAAATTGATGCAAAAAAAAAACAAACCTGGTCTGGGCTGCTGAGGTCTGGCAGTGAAAGGGTTAAAAAAAAAACCCACGTTTTGACAGTTGTATGTGGCTGACATTGTTAAACTTTTGAAAATGCTAGTTGCCTGGCTGATTCTGGTTTCAATACCTTGTGACAAACCAGGAACAATCATGTGACGGGTGAAGTCAGAACTCCTAATCTGCAAACTTGTTCCAGGCCAGTGGCATAAAGTATTGTTGCCAATGATTCACCCAAGCTGTTTATTTTGCTATCTTTTACTATTAAAGGTACACTCCCATTACAGATGCAAATTAAACCTTGAGATCCAGAAAGTGAGCATAACATACTTGCTGATGTAGGTTTTTCATGCAAGCATTGTTAGTTATATCCAGTCTGCTTCATGGTGATCTGAGAACCCATGCTTTTCTTTCAGGAAAGCTATTTCTAGACGTGCCCACTGTGGGTTCCTTACACTTACAAAGAAGGCCTGATATTAAAAAAAACAAACCAAATGTCAATACTAAGAAGTTGCTCGCAGCCACCAATCAGTCAAACCTGGCTCAGAAGTTTAATTTTGATTATGATAAAGTAACTTACACAGCATAGGTATCAGGAAATACACAAAAAAAAACAAAAAACTGATCACCTGCCCAGGTCTATAACTGGCTTATTAAACAGTGAACATGGAGGGCGTCACTATGTGAAAGATTCAAAAAATAGAAATATCCAGTTCAACTTGCCAGCCTACCCCATGTCTAATCACGGCTATTGTTGGCAAGGAACATGGATATGTATAACTTATCAGCAGAGGGGGATCAGAAAAGCCAGTTCAATCTGCCAGCCAGTTGGCCAACTATCAAAGACCAAATTAACCTATCTAGAAACATGCATTTAAAAACAGGGGTTTAGTTAGCACACTTTTGCAAATACATACGTAAGCCACAGAGCCACGTCACGGCACCCTGAATATCTGTGGTCCTAACTCTATAAATCTAGAGAGTCCTCACAGTGGAGGCACATGCATTTAAATGGAAATACACACCCAGTCACTCTGTGAGACGATTTGTACATTCTTGCAGCAGAGACCTACCTAGAACTTTATAGTGCATTGAATGAACTTGTCTTATTTTAGGATAGGATCAGCAGCTCATGGATTTATTTTGCATGTTGCCTAGCATTGCTGTTTGATATATCTTACCCTGAAGATGTAATAAACGTACAATAGTTTATATTGCAATCTTCTTTTTTTTGCCTAGATGATGTTCAGACCACTCTTGTGAAGACTTCCCTCCTCCAAGTCCTATGTTTGTATCAGAGGGTGGTGCCTCATGTAGTGTCTCAGAGTAATTTCGATTTCAGTAAACTTCTCAAAGGTGAGTAAAGGGTAGGTGCTGTGGGGCAGGTACACTGCTATCCCTTGTACCGCTTATAAATCACTTTTGTCACATCTGACCTCACAATAGGCTTCTCGAGACCCTGTTTTCTATGTGTCTATTTTTATTAAAATAAATCAATTCCTGTGAAAAGTGATTTTGGATAAAAGTTGCCTTCAATGCCAGGAGTTAATTGAATTTCACACACCCCGCTTCAAGTCAATTCTCTCCGCAAAACAGAAGTGCATTTCCTGTATCTAGGTTACCTGCAAATGTGTTGATGGAAAGGTTTAATTGCTGACCTCGCAGGCTGTTTCTGTCGTCTCTTTGCTAGGTGACTAATCAAACATCCAAATGGTATGTTACATATTTAGGCATTATGTAAAATTGCTGGTGAAGGAGGGTAACAGTACTTTTTAAATACAATAAAGTAAATTAAATGCAGTATTTATTGTTTTCAGTTTTCACTAAGATAAGCTGAGGGTCTTTAATTGAAATCTAATATACAGAAAATAATATTTAGATGTGATTAGATACATTTATGCTACTATCTGTCAGACATATAAACACATCTTTACTTTTGCTGAAATTAGGCATACGGTGTGTATTTGTACCTTAATCTTGGGCTCTTTTGTGCATTACCTGTGTAGTAATCCAACATGAAACAACTCCTGTAGTTTGCCTCTGTGCAGGAGCTTCCTGTAATAAAGACCATCTACTGTTGCTCTCTGTCCTTGTGCAGGGTGACTGGCCTTGTCTCTGCCCCCTCCTGTAGTTTTCTGCAGGCAGCCTGTAGCAAGTGGTGTCTGCTGGGTCCCTCTGTTAGCTCTGCTCTCTGCACAGGCTGTGTACAACACAGTGATGGTGTCACTGTTAATTAGACAAGGTATTAATTGGGTTTGCAAAGTCATTTTGTGTATATGATTAATATTTTTAAATGAGGGATTTTGTGCCCAGTGTCAGGTTTTAATATGGAGTGTACCAATGCAACACTATTTGCCAGCAGAGTTGCTTGGTTTCCTCTGATACACTAGAAGTTTTGGCCCTTAATATTCAACATATTGATTCTTTGTCTTTACATTAATCCTCTTGGATGCCAGTGGCCATAGGGTATAGCCTACTTATGCTCTAGGTGACACGGCAGCAGCAGATTAACTGTCACAAGAGAAAGATACCTTTCCTTTCTCAGAGTTATAATATTGTTTTGGTAATGACAATATGTGCCCTTTAGAGTGATAAGTTCACTTTAATGTTCCATTTTAACCCAGGCATTGTAAGCGAGAGAGGTGTACGTGAAGAGGTCCCCCCGATCTTGCAGCATCAGATCCTTCAAGTGGCCCTGGAGCTGCCCGCCAACAAGTTTTCCTGGTTTAAAGTGCAGGTTTGTTTTCATCCCCCCCCCCCTCCCCAAACTATCAAAGAGAGGTCTGAACAATGGATGTAGTTGCCACTATTAAACGAAAGAATGCATGCCGACCTGTACTATTTCCTTTACAGGATTCATCTGATGTCGGAGGAGGGGAGAAGACTGTATTTTATTTGCTTCTGAAAATGTTTGTCACTTCTCACAAGGCACAGCTGAAAACATCAACCAGGCTTTTGATCATTAAGGTAAGGTTTAATTTGTGCCCTTTTGCAGATCTTTTCGTATATGAATGAGTGTAGTTAAACATGAAAACAGAAGTGTCATATTGCAGTTTACCAGTCCTCAGATGAGATGGCTGCATTAGTTTTCTATTCTTCAGGCATGAAAGAGAGGTCACATGAAACTGCTGTAGGGGGCCCAAGATCCATCATTGTCTGAGCAAAGAAACAGGTTCACTTTAATGCCCCCCCCTCTCCCAGTAGCATATAATTGCCTTTCCATTGCTTTCCCTGCTCACGTGCCAAAGAAAAGCCTGTGTATCGTACGAGTCGCTGGAGTAGTAGGACACAGGGCAACCGATACCCACTTACTCCTCCATACCTGAATGTAGCAGTTATTCCCCTTTTTTGGCACCTGGTACCAAATAGAGCAGCAGGGAAGCAAAGGAAAGGTAAGTATATGTTGCTGGTTAATGCAAACCTGTTGCTTGGCCTTAAATGGGGAACAACAGATTTGCCTTAAATTTGCTATTTTGGTTGTACGTGTTTACTATACTGTGTAGAGAGTGTACATATGGTGCAACTAGGTACCTGCATAAGGTCCCAGCTTATAGCTGCTGCAGCAAGTTACTATTTGCATATCATTGTCAGGCGACCCAGAAGAAGAGGATCCTTAGTAGTAAAAATATACTCCGTGCTTATTCGGTCAGCCACTTCCATTTGTTTTCTGCTAATTACTTTTATTTAGCCACAGGTTTACTTAAAAGTGAGTCCTTGTCCTTTTGATGTTAGATGTTCCATATAATAAGCAGTAATCTCTAAAACAAGCCCTGACACAGCTGCTGAGTCACCGTTGGGGAGCTGAGCTACTCCGACTTCATTTTGGAGGACGTCAGTGCTTCTACTGTGAGCTTTGAGGAGAAGTTGCTCTGCAGTGCCTGCAGCTACAGTGCTCAGTGAGGGCTTGAAAGCTTATTTAGTGATTTGAAAGGAAAGGTAAATGTGTTCACAGCTTGACCAATGATTTGCTTTAGGTGAACCTATCACAGCGATTCATAGTGGCTAAAGCCTTCTATGTTAAGCCATAACTTGCATGAAAGGACAGTTTTACATCCCTGTCACACAGATTGCTAGGTTTAGTGGTCTGCGGGGGGGGGGGGGGAATTAGGTCCGCTGTCAGGCTGGCTATGCTTATTCCCAGGACTGCACAGTGCATTATAGTGGAAACTGATCTAGTAGGCCATAAAACAATAACAATACACTTTTTATATTACAGGTGGTTGATCACAGTATTTCAATTTTTTTTTTTTTTTTTTTTTACTTCTGTAGATCCTGCGGGACAGCGGTGTGTTTGAGTACACTTGGCAGGAGCTGGAGCTGTGGCTGAGGTGTCTGGATAAAGTGGAAGAGAACTCAAAAGAACTGGTAATCCAGTTTTTAGAACAGGTACCAACAGTTGTTGAAAATATCCATTACAGTGTGTGTGTTCATCATTCAATGCATAGCCTGTTTTAATGTCTTAGCCACGGGGATGGCAATAGTTAGATCTCTCAACTAGAGTCTTTGGCATTTTTTCCTCCTCCACCATGGCAGCATGCATCTCTTCTGGATTCTCTCTAATATTAACCACCTCCCGCCCGCCATATAGTAATATGACGGGTGCAAGGTGGTTCTCTCGTTCTAGGAGGACGTCATATGACCTCCTCCCATTCTCATTGCGCATGCGCGGCTCAGGGAGCGCGCAGTGCAGCGATCGGCGGTGCGCTGTGACCCTTGGACACAGCGGATCACCGATCACGGAAAGAGCCGAAGATGTCGGCTCGGTCATGTGATCAGCTGTGTCCAATCACAGCTGATCACATGTAAACAGGGAAATGCCGGTTATCGGCACTTCTCTCCTTTCGAGCTGTCATGCTGACAACTTGAGAGGAGAGGAGAGCCGGTAATCAGCTTTCCGCAGAGGGGACATGTACACTGATCATCAGGGCACTGATGATCAGTGTGCCCTGATGATCAGTGTAGCCCCAGCAGTGCTACCTGTCAGTGTCCATCAGTGCCTTATGTCAGTGCCTCGTGCCAGTGCCCATCAGTGCCACATATCAGTGCACATCAATGCCACATGTCAGTGCCCATCTGAGCTGCCTTTCAGTGTCACCCATCAGTGCCAGTCAATGCCACCTATCAGTGCTGCCAATCAGTGCCGCCTATCAGTGCCATGTATCAGTGCTGCCTTTCAGTGCCCATCAGTGATGCCTGTCGATGCCCATCAGTGCAGCCCATCAGTGCATCCTCATTAGCGCACATCAGTGAAGGAGAAAAATCACAAAATTTTATAACAAAAACTAACTTTTTTCCAAATTTTCAGTGGTTTTTGGTTTGTTTAAGAAAAAATAAAAACCCAGAGGTGATTAAATACCCCCCAAAAAAAGCTCTATCTGTCACAAAAAAATTATAAAAATTTCATATGGGTACAGTGTTGTTTGACCGTACAATTGTCATTCAAAGTGTGACAACGCTGAAAGCTGGAAATTGGCCTGGGCAAGAAGGGGGTATAAGTGCCCTGTAGGCAAGTGGTTAAAGGGCTGAATGTTTCATAATCATGTCTTATATGTATTGCCATGAGGAGATCACCATGTTCAACCCCAGAAAAAAAACAACTAAAACAGTTACATAATAAATAATACAAAGGATAGAAATGGGACTTTAGAGGTGCAATTAAAGTCCCTAATGATGTACAACAGTTTAAAATATACCAAATACAAAATATTTTATTAACGGATATTAAAAATTTATAAAATAAGTATGCAGAAGCAAACATGTACATTTTTTTATAGACTGTTGACAGAGTCCTTTACACAAAATCTTCTACATATTTTGCCTTCAAGGCTTTTTCAGGAAGTTACATGTGCGAAGGATACTAATTAAAATACTTAAACAGTTTGGTATCTAATTTAAAACAAAAATGTTGTTTTTTTTTAAAGCCAGCTGCCTTGCAAGTGCTAAAAGAGGACACTGGTCTGTCAACAGCCCCAGACTCTTATTTTTTTTAATTTTTTTTTTTTAACAGAGGCCAATGGGATTTTTAGCAGTTTTCTAGTGCCATGATCCAGAGGAAACCTGGATCAATCTGCCAGTGTTGGGGAACTCAGGAGGTAGATCTATTGGCTTCCAGGTTCTACAACAGGTTGTGTCCAATGTGAGAGTCCCACTGGAAATAGGGGTTGGTTGCACTGGTAGTACTTTAGGGACCAGTTCTCCCTCATCTGTGCCTTCCCTTCCTGATTCAACTATTGCTGCGTCTTTTGCACGCTATCTGGGAGGTGGTAACACTGATAATAGTGGTAGCCCAGCCTAGCCAAGGATGGTTTGGTACACCAACATAGTGAATCTGGCAGCGGACTCTTTGGACACTTAACCCCTTCACGCCTAAGGGTAAAACAAATCTAAATGCCTAAGCACAATTCTGCAACGTTGACGTGTTAGTAAAACCGTACATATCGTCACAACTACTTTGTACATCCAGGTGGATTATACCTTGTTTTTTTCAGGACAAATTGGGCTTTCATTTGGTGGTAAATGGTCATGGATAGCTCCTAATTTTTTTTTATTATTAAAGGAAAACTGGGCCAAAATAGTAAAAAAAAAATTTTTTTTTAAATTTAACTGTGTGTTTCTTGTTACGACCATAACCTACCACCAAAGAACAACTCAAAATACATTCTCCAGTTCTTGACGATCGCAGCGATACCATATATGTGTATGTTATTTGTTGTTTGTACCCGTAGTACAGTCCAGAAACAGTGCGCATTTTGTTTTTGTCTTTTTTTTTTTTTATATAAAACACACTGTCACTGACATTGACATTAACACTAACTGACACCAAATTTTTTTTTAAATCCTGACCTTTGACCCTGACCTTTGCCCTTGACCCTGACCTTTGACCCTGACCTTGACCCAAACACTAACCCTGGTACTGAACTAGATCAAACCTTGATCTAGGTATTTTTCTTTATTTTTTTCTTTTATTTTTTAATATTTATTTATCTTTTTTTTTTTTTTTACAAACTTTTTTTTTCTCTCTCTGTGTCAGGAGTTCGAGAGATACAATGTATCTCTCTTCTCCATTCATAGAGAGAGAGAAAACAAGGGGGCCGGGCTGCACAGTGATTGATCACTGTGATAGCCAATCAGAGGCTATCACAGTGATCACGTGACCCGGAATCGGGAGTCCCGGGTCCCGATCGTTAGAACGGGACCCGGGGCTCTCAGTGACACCGCGGTCTTGGTGCTGGGAGCGCGCCGAGCGGCGCGCTCCCAGCACAAAGACAGGTACGCAAATATGCGGCCCCACGGAAAAAAGCCCAGGTCCGTGAGGCCGCATATTTGTGTTACGTCGGCGTCAAGGGGTTAAATTCCCGCCAGACCTATTGTCTTAGGTCCAATAGTGTATCTGCTTCACGATCGCTCAGATTGAAGGCTTGTCTACTGAAGCCTAGGTCTGGAAAGATCAGGGGGGTCTTGGGTCCTGTTATTTCCGCACTGTTGAGCACCAGGAAGCTAGCTTCAGGGAGCTTGGAGCTTACATTACTGGACCTGGAAATCGTATTTGCCTGGTGTGAAGCTAGGAAGTGGTTCCCGTGGAAATATGTGATTAGGAGATTTTTTGTCCTTTCTCCAATTGAGGGGGGGGGGGATTAAATTGGCTCTAAGTACCATTAGGAGTCAGATTTTGGCTCTAACCATTTTTTTTCCCAGTCCCGCCTGTCAGTCCACCCTTGTTTCCTTGGCATTTAACTTGATCTTAGCTGTCCTTGCAGAAGCCACCTTTTGAACCAATTTGAGAAACTAAGTTGGTCCTTTGATTTGGAAGGTGGTTTCTTTGGCTCTTTCATGTAAGGAGCCGTTCTTTGTCTTGCATCATGATATGGTGATGTAGCATGCTCATCCATATTTCTTGCCTAGACTGGTTTCTAGTTATCATTTGAATCAGGACAGTGTCTTGCCTTTCTTTTTTCCTAGTCCAAAGTCAGCAGGGGAAAGATCGATGTATAATCTGGATGTAGTTCGGGCAGTCAAGATTTACTTATGTTTGTCGGCACAGGTCAGGAATCCTGGTTTGTGCTGCCAGAATGGCCCAGGAAGGGCAGGTGGCATCCAGGTCAACTATTTCTCATTGGATCCCCCAGTTAATCATTCAAGCCTATGGTTTGAAAGGACAAAATCACAGCCTTTCAGGTGAGAGCACACTCTACCAGGAGTGTGGGGGCATCTTGGGCTATCAGTGGCTCAGGTTTCCAAGGCTGCTGCATGGTCTTTAGTTCATACATTCACAGGGTTTCACCAGGTGGATGTCAGAGCAGTGGCAGATACTGCCTTCGGCCACAGTGTGTTACGAACAGCAGAGTAGGTCCTTTGGGATTATGGTGGTGGTTATTGTTGTGTCTCCCAACCCTCAGGTTTTATTGCTACAAAGACATGATTATAGCCTGCTCTGTGTCGTGTGATGTACGATAAAGAAAATTGGACTTTTCCTACATACTTACCTGTAAAATCCATTTCTTGGAGTACATCACCCCTCTTTTTGGAAATTCACTGCTTGCTACAAAACTGAGTTATTTCCTGTATAGGAGGGGTTATATGGGGGATGACTTCCTGTTTGATTGATCTGCCAGTGTCCATTCACACATAGGTGGTGCATAAACCACATAGTAATTATTATATCCTGCTCTGTGTCCCATGATGAACTCTAAGAAATGGATTTTACAGGTAAGCATGTAGAAAAAAATCCTGTTTTCTCTTTGCTCACAAAGGCCAACTGGAGCAGTGGAATAAAGGTTAATGTATGCTGTAAGGCAGGTGGGAGAGTTGGGTGGTCTTTTTACTTTGCCCTGCATGGGCAAAGTAAGGAGTCCTTTTAACCTCCTTGGCGGTATTCCCGAGTGTAGCTCGGGGTAACATTTCAGTACCACTAACGGTAACCCCGAGCTACACTCGGGAATACCACGCGGCACTGCTCCGGCATTTGTTCTTCACTTACCTTGTCCTTCGCTCCCACGATGTGTCCCCTGCAGCCTCCCCGGCCATCTCCTCCGGCCGATGCCGGCATCCGGCTTCTGTGTCCTGTCCCTGTGACGTCGGGACGTACGGGCGCCGCTGGCGGCGGGAAATTTAAAATTTTTTAAAAATGTCTTTTTTTTTTTTTTTTTACATAGTAAAACATTGCTGTCTCAACCAATTTCACATACATTTTGTCCCTAATGCTTTGTCCTGCGCCCTGCTTGCATTTTGTCTGTTCTTTCTGCCTGGAAACTGAGAAACGTTCATGGCGTCCAAAAAGTGTCCCTTTAGGTCAAAAGCGGTTTAGATCAGCTAGAGAACAGCGATAGTAAATCAGAACCACTTGCAGAATTGAGTGATAATGATTTGTGGGGAAATTCGTCATCAGACACTGAAAACGATTTTGCGACTTTGCTCAGCAATGTGCTAACTTGGCGCTATATTTCACATTTCAGTGTTTTTGGTTTGATTATATTATTGAATTAAATGTATTATTATTATATTATTATTTTTTATGATTATTTATTAAATTATAATTTATGATCACGTGTTTCAAATTTTATCATACCCGGGATGTTTACTAGACTCTTGTTCGGACAGATTACAGTGAGTGATTCCTAAGAATTACAGGCCTACAATAAAAAAACTACATATTTCCATGCAAAAAAATGGTACCGCTTTCAGCACCAAAAATCGGAAAGAATCATACCGCCAAGGAGGTTAAAGCTGACCACTACACAGTTGAAATACATGGAACCTCTGTTTGTGATCTTGTTCATCTAGTATAGAATATTACACAACCCTGCCAGACTGCATAGCCAGGCTGGTGTTTACTGAAGTTAAGTAATACAGGTTTTTTTTTTTTAAATTATATCTTTATTAATTTTTTTTTATGCAAATCCATTTTAAACCAACAACATGCAATATAAAAAAACATATTTAATTACAATCCCCGTCCCGCCTCCTCCCCCCTCCCTTTGTCTTCTTTATCTTACCATTTACTTTTTGTTCTTCGTTTGTTAATCTATCTCATCGTTTCCCCTCCTTTTCTTTTTCCTCTTTTTTTCCTTTCATTAAAAGATGGAACAAAATTGTATTTTTATATTGCTTCACCAAGAGCTCTGATTTATAAAATAAGCAAGCCCACGGGTCTATCGATACTAATCTTCTGGATCTCTTGTATATATTGCGTTATCTCCCTCCAAAACTCCTGTATTTTGGGACAATCCCACCAGATATGTGCCATTGTACCCTTACTCCCACATCCCCTCCAACACTGGGATGAAACTTCTGGCCTTAATTTATGCATCACATTGGGTGTAATATACCATCTTACTAGGCACTTATAATTCATTTCAACTATATTCATATTCACCGCCCCATGTGTTAAACTATACATTTTATTTTTTTGTTGCTTATTCAATTTTGTTTAAGCTCCATTTCCCACTTCTCCAAACATTTTTGGGATGCTAGTCCCTCTTTCATTAAGTATTTTATATATCCTTTGAGGTAATATGTTTCTGTATTCTATTTGTACTCAACAGTTGCTCTAAAGGATACATTTCATCCTCATTCCTTAGTGGTTGTGGAAGCTTTGCAACAAAATCTCTTATTTGGAAACACCACCACTCATCCTGTGTAGAAAATAATTCCTTCTTATTCTTCAACTCATGTAAAGAACATGAAAGTCCTCTATTCACAATATTGTGCATTTTTACCCATTTCCCTGAAATACTGTCATTCCCGGGTGGGAAAAACTTGTTCCCGTCAATGGAATTGACAGTGAATTAAATTTCCAATCCTTCTGCTTATATATTTCATCCCAAATCCTAAGTACATTCTGTGTCAAAGTGCTTGTGTCCTCGTCCCATGTGCGAAATTCCTGTGGTATCCAAATAAACTTTTCTAGTGGTGCCTTAATAAGTGAACTCTCCATTCTTACCCAGCTTCTCCCCTGTATATTGTGTATCCAGTCTACAGTTTGTAATAATAGCACCGAATTATATCTCCTAAAATCTGGCATATTTAACCACTTGCCGCCCGCAGATAGCCGAATGATGGCTACACTGCGACCAGCCAGTTCTGGGAGGGCGTCATATGACGTCCTCCTGGAACGCGCTCTCCTGCGCGCCTCCGGGGGCACGCACCTGGCGATCTCTGTGATCGCTGTGTCCTACGGACACAGCTGATCACGTGATGTGGTAAAAGGACAATCACAGCGGCCTTTTACCACGTGATCAGCCGTGTTCAATGACATGCTGATCACGGGAAATGCAATTGCCGGTTCTCGGCTGCACTTTCCTTATGCTGTCAGAGTGAGGAAAGTACTGCCGAGAACCGGCAGTTGTGAGAGCAGTGATCGGCACTGATGATCAGTGCCCTGATGATTGGTGCCCAGCAGTGCCACCCACCAGTTCCGCCCACCTGTGCCCAGCAGTGCACCCACCTGTGCCACCCAGCAGTGCCACACACCTGTGCTCAGAAGTGCCACCTACCTATGCCCAACAGTGCCACCCGCCTGTGCCCACCCACCTGTGTCCATCAGTGCAGCCCAGCAGTGCTGCCAGTCAGTGCCCAGTGTTTGTGCCAGTCAGTGCCCAGCAGTTGCGCCTGTCAATGCCTGTCAGTGCCCAGCAGTGAGGCCAGTGTCAGTGCCACCTATCCGTGACACCTCATTAGTGCTGCTTATCAGTGCTGCCTATCAGTGCCACCTCATTAGTGCTGCCTATCAGTGCCGCCTCTCAGTGCTGCCTATCAGTGCCCATCAGTGCTGCCTATCAGTGCCCATCAGTGCTGCCTATTAGTGCCCATCAGTGCTGCCTCATCAATGCACATCAGTGAAGGAGAAAAATTACCTGTTTGAAAAATTTTATAATAGAAACAAAGAAACTTTTTTTTTTTTTTTTTTGCTGCACTTTTTTTGTTTATAGCGCAAAAAGTAAAGTGCCCAGCGGTGATTAAATACCACCAAAAGAAATCTCTATTTGTGAGAAAAAAAATGATCAAAAATTTCATATGGGTACAATCTTGCATGACCGCGCAATTGTCAATCAAAGTGCGACAGCGCTGAAAGCTGAAAATTGGCCTGGTAAAGAAGGGGTATAATTGCCCGGTAGGCAAGTGGTTAATCCCCTTCTTTTTTTTTTTTTTGGTACTATTATCATCTTAATTATATTTATCCAACCTATCCTTTTATCTCATTTATTAGTGCGATATAGTTTTCCTGATACAGATTTTATTTTATATGTGATGTTAGTTTTATTCCCAAATACTTTTTCTCTACATTTAAAGGGAAACTTTTTGTAGAATTTGTTTCTCAACCTTTGAAACATTTGTTTAATATTTCAATTTTCAAGGGATTAATTTTCAGGTTAGATAGCTCTTCATATTCGTTCATTTTTCTCATTAGGTTTGGTAATGTTAATCTGGGGTTTTTAATATAATACAGTATATCATCTGCATATGCTGCCACTTTATGTTCACTGTCCCCTGTCCACATTCCCTTAATACCTACACTATTTCTAACAGCTGCTAATAGCGGTTCCATGGAGGTAACTAACCACAATGGGGACAGGGGACATCCCTGTCTTGTTCCATTATACATGTTAAAAAATTTTGATAATGAACCATTTACCTTCACTGAAGCTGAGGGGCTCCTATATAACTCTTTAATCCACTGTATCATTTTAGGTCCGATTCCTAATCTAATCAGCATATTGAACATAAATCCCCAATCTACTCTATTAAAAGCTTTTTCATCATGAATAATTCCCGTTTCCTCTCTTCTTTCATTCTTTTGCAGGATAAGCAATGTTCTTAAACCGTTGTCCTTTCCCTCTCTGCCCAGAATAAATCCCACTTGGTTTAAGTGTATCCAGTCAGACATAAACTCTTTCATCCTGGTAGCTAGCACCTTCGCATAAAATTTTGTATCCGTATTCAACAAAGAAAGGTGTCTTATAGCTGCGACACTGAGACCAATCTTTCCCCTCCTTGGGTATTACTGTGATATATGCCTGTAACGATTCCTCCCTCATCTTTGTCTTTTCTCCTAATGCGTTCATATATGAGCACAGTTTAGGGACTAGAGGTTCTTTGAACTTCTTATAATATCCTACTGTAAATCCATCAGGTCTGGGACGGTTTCCTACAGCTGTACTCTTTAATGCTAAGTTGGCTTCTTCTGTTAAGTAATACAGTTTAATTACCTTCCTGTCCCCTGCCTGTACTTGAAGAGTAAACAAGCAGCAGCAGAATGATGATGCGTTCACTCTTTTCCATGGAGGCACGTGTGCTAGCAGCATAGCTTGGTTGACTTAGTTCTAGCCCTCCCTTTTCTGTCTGTACAGTGTATTACAACAGGCTGATTCCAAGAGAGGTTTTGCTACTTAAACTAGTTAAAATGACTCTAAAGATTATTATTAAAGAGCAGTCTTGATCCTTCTTTTCTGGGGTCCCTTGTCGGCACGCCTGTCTCTTCCTGTTCGGCAAGTGCCCCCATAGGAAAGGGCTTTGTGAGGGCTTGATTCCGAACCTCTCTACCTGCATACATAGACACAGATGGTGTGGATTGGGAGCCCCCTGCTTCCTTGTTACAAGATTTTATTAACAGATTGTGTAAATCAGTTTTAAAGTGTCAAATGGTGGTGTAAAATATTAAATTTAGGATGGGTTTGAGGTCCTTTTTATATTTTTTTTTTTTTTAGGTCCTCTTTTCCATCTAATCCTGTTCTCTTCTCCCTTTTAATAGCTGCCGCTGGAGGGAGGAGCAGTGACGTTGCTGTCAGAGATGCCCACAATGACCTATTCTTCTTTCAGTTCTAATTTTGTTTCATTTCAGGCTTTGGTCAAGCTGGTATCTAACCCGTATCCATACACAGATAAGGCTGCTGACTATGTTCAAGAGGCCACCGTGCTCCAGTCCAGTTTGGGAAACCAGGATTCCGAAACAGTCAGCATTCCCATCTCCCACATAGATGGTGTGTTTATATCTATAGATTTCATTTTTTTTCTCATTTGCTGTATTTTATGTTCTTAAAGGATATGCTTCCTTTAAAGCTGAGCTTTAAAAATATAGAACACCAGTTGGGCATTCATTAAAAAAAGCTAATACATTTCAATGCTATGTACTCTAGAACTCGAATACAGCATCTAAATGTTGTTTTTACTGCAGATGTGATGGACATGGTGGATGTCATTGTTGAAGGCAGTGAAGGCTTGGATGAAGAAGTTGGCTTTAATCTTGATGAAGATATGATTTCTCAGACGTTTCCTTTCAGTGCTGTGGTTCCAGCAGTACTGGAAGCCAGGAGTAGGATTCTGACATCAGAGAAGAATGAACATGGTAAGAGCCTTATTTACAGTCACTGCTTCAATTTCCTAGCCCGATTCCTACAGTGCAGTGGATTAAAAGAACATGTACGTTGGTACATGCTCAACACTAAGTAAGACATTGAAGACCAGAATCGCAGCTGTGGTCTGTTCTTAGCTTGTTTAAAGCTTTGTTTGCACATGTGATTACTGATAGTGCTGAATGTACTTATGTCATGTGAGTGCTCCCTGCTGTAGCTCTTAGCTGTCCTTTATCCCACCCTTGAGACAAAATTTTTGCCACTGATGTCAACGATAAGCCACTATTTCTAACACTAATACAAATGATAGAGCACTATTTCTCCCACTGGCACCAAAGGTGAGGCAGTATTACTCCCACTGACCCCCAGCCCTGGGCCATTGTTTACGCCCATTGACTACCAACCCTGGGCCATTGTTTACTGTTACTGACCACAGATTCTGGGTTTACTCCCACTGACTTCCAACCCAGGGATTTGTTTACAACCACTGAGCTCTGACTCCATGACATTTATTACCACTACTGGTCCCTTGTTTAAAAAGTTTGGGAGCCCATGCATTGCCAAGCGAGTTTAATTCCTTAGTAGATTACGAAGTGTATTTTGTCAATTGGTCACTCTGATGTGATGAGTTCCAGACCAGTAGGTGGTGGGATTGCACCTGGAATACTGAAAGAAAAACATTGGTGGATTTATTTACTATTGAAGATTGCAAGTGTTCTTTATTTCTTACACATTGGTTTTGTGTGCACTGCCTTTTATTATTGTCATTTGAAGATTTTTGTTAAGGTGTTTAGAATGTGTTTAAGATATTTATGTACACTGAATAGTTAACATTGTAGTGCTGTGTTACTGGATACAGATATTTATATTCAATCTATTATATTTAGATTGATGTTGGATGTCTGATTCTAAGTAACAAAGTTTGTAGAGACCCTTACTTCTGTTATATGTTGAAGCGCTTGTTCCATAATTCCTAAAGTGGCTTGCCATACTGGACTAGCTAGTTCCTGAATTCTGCATGTATTTGCCTCTGTAGTGTGACAAATGGAGTTCTCTTCTCTGTGTTTCAGAATGTGTGATCAACTATCTGGTATCTGTCCTGACTGACATACTACACACCCAACGGGACCCACTTCCCCTTTGCTTGATACTCCAGTCTTTTGATAAAGAGTTACAGCCCTCAGACGTTGGCTACATTGAGCTTCACAACTTTTACAACTATTACAGTCTGTGGCTACCGCCATCTGCCAGAGAGTCTCCAGTAAGTGAAACTTGAAAACAGAGGAGCATTATTGTGAACAATATTGTATTCTTATAACTGTGTGGGGCTAATATTTCTAATAATAGCATTCGGTATATGATTTTTAAAATTTTGTTTTAGTTTCACAAGCACATACAGTAATTAGACACTCCCAAAAGAGAAGACGGATATGATGTGCAAGGAAGGAGGGGGTATTTGCTAGGTAATTTACTCTCCTGGAATAGTCAAAATCTCTAGCAAGTTTCAAGGCACGTTGAAAGTCAATAGGTATTAATTTATGAAAAGGAAAAACACTGAAAATGCATTCTATACACTTGATTTTTCTGTCCTATTGACAGCAGATTCTCTTTGAAACAACTTTGAGCTATCTGGGGAAAGACTTGTCATAGGCAGCCCATTGCCCATGGTAACCTGGGTACCTGTAAGCTGTTCTTGGTGGGTGTCAAGACCCTGACAAGTTTAGAAGGGGTATCTAGTTATGAACCTAGAATACATGACATTAGCTTCAATTTGTTAAGATGCTAGAGTTTTTAATTGCATTTCTTATTTTATCTCATGTAGCCTAGCTCCTTAAAAAGTTCCAGCAAATATAAGTAGCATTTAGGTGTGGAAATTTTTTTTTTTTTTTTTCTTT